TAACATTTCAATGGCTACTATTTTTGAGTGTGCTTTAAGGGATTTCAAGTATCTGATAAATAGTTTTCCCTCCTCATTTCTTCTTTTTTTCTCTTAGTTTCCTACCTTAGACCCAATTCAGTTTCCCACATAAACCCAATCTTGACCACATGTTTAATTTATGTGTCCTAGACTCTGGATCACAGGGTGTAGGGAAAAGTACGCTGTTAATTGTTTTCAGAGGATCCACAGCTCATATTGTATTCCCTGTGCCTTCATACCCAACAGGGAAGTGGTGAGACACACAGAGGGAAAAGGCAACAATCTCTTTTTCTCTGCTCATTCATCCTTCTTTCCCCATTCCCCAAAGACAGACAGACAGACAGACAGACACACACACACACACACACACACACACACACGCCTTCTGTGCTTAGAAATAGGAACACTTTGTTCAGTTTTACTAATCCAGTTTGTCAGTCATTACTGTAGCTCGGCTATTTAGCACCTAGAAAAGCATTCCTTAAAATGCAAATTCCCTACAGATGGGGCATTGGGATCAATATACCACACCCAGACTATTATTTAAGGCACTTGGGGATGTAGGGCAATGCCTGAGGGAAGGGCAGACCCATTAGGGAGCAAAGATTACACAGTAAAGAAGGTGGAAAGGTATGGAAACAGACCTCAGGGCACCTCACCTAGCTCTACACGGTTAAATCATCTGAGGGGGGCCCCCCTGGTGGTGCAGGCGGTTGAGTACAGTGCTGTGAAGCTGTCCGCAGCCTCTGCAGTGCCGGTTCGATCCCCGCTGGGCCATGGAGCAACCCACATGGTGCAGTAGACCTCTCCTGTCTCGCCCGCTGCTCCCCTCAGCAGTGTATTTCAGTCAATCTGCCTGTTCTGTTCCCTGCTCTGTCTCTCGTGAATCCTCTCACCCTCCCGCACATCTGGCCTGTACCCCAGTTTTTGTATAAATAAAATAAATCTTAAAAAATACCATCTGAGGGGGTTCACAGGCTGTTGACTTGATACCAATTGTTTTATCTTACATTTGCAGCCCTTGACAGTTCAGTGTACTTTCACTCTTTAATTATTTGATTTCCTTTATTAACCTTTTTTCTTACAACTACATGGATCTCAAATATAATAACATCCAACATACCCATTAAAAAAAGGTCCCAGAGAGGTGAGCTGATATTTCCCAAATCTAAAGGTAATTAGAATCCAGATTCCCTGATGCCTATACTCTAGGTTCTGTTTACTATTCCACATAGACTCTTTAGACATCTGCTAGTTCAAATACAAGTAATGAATATATCCACAGAAAGAATATTTTTAGAAAGTATATCTATACATAAGTATAAATAGCTTTTCTGTACATCACTGCTATTTTGAATCATTGATCTAAAAAGTCCCAGTAAGTACATTTTTGCTAATGCTCTGCTTGTCTGTCAAACTTTAGCCAACTTCTATCATCTGGACTAAGTGGAAAAACCTTGGAGAAGTAAGGAAAATAATTACCATAAAGAACATCCAGTAGAAGCTAGAAGATTCAAGAACCACTCTCAGGCTCTATCCCAAAATGTATAGATTTATTTTTGTGCTCTAAATAGGAACAATACTGTAATCAATTTAGCCATGAAGTTTGCTAATTTACTGCAAGTGAAAATGATTTGAAGGAATGGATGATTGTTTGAGTCACCATTCCACAAATAATTTTTTTTAAAGATTTATTTATTTATACAAGAACCAGGGTACAGACCAGATGTGCTGGAGGGTGAGAGGATTCACCAGAGTCAGAGTGGAGAACAAAATAGGCAGACTGACTGAAATACACTGCTGAGGGGAGCAGTGGGCAAGACAGGAGAGGTCTGCCGTGCCATGTGGGTACCTCCCCGGCCAGCCAGGATTCAACCATACTGCAGAGGCTGCAGACAGCTTCACAGCACTGCGCTCAACTGCCTGTGCCACCAGGGAGGCCCTCAACAAATAATTTTTAACTGACTACTATACTAAATACCAGGGAAACAAAGATGAAAGTATAGAATAGTTGACTCATAATTGCAGTGATGGGTTTAAGTGTCACACTTCAAAAACTTACAAATCCTGAGGCTTCCCTGGTGGCGCAAGGGGGTAAGTTCAGCACTCTGAAGCTATCTGCAACTATGGCAGCACAAGTTCAATCCCTGGCCAGGGAGGTGATCCACATGGCACCGCAGACCTCTCCTGACTTGCCCGCTGCTCCCCTCAGCAGTGTACTTCAGTCAGTTGTCCTGTTCTGTTCCCCACTCTGTCTCTGGTGAATTCTCTCACCCCCACACCTCTGGCCTATACTCCAGTTCTTGTATGCATAAATAAATAAATCAAAAAAATCTTATAAATACCTGTCTAATCATAGAATGGATCATGTGCCATTCAATTTTTGAGGGTGAACAGAGTTGCCTGGAGGATATGATGTCTAGTAAGTCATGGAATGGGGAAGGTAAGAAAGAATCTGGTCTCTTTAGGGAAGGAACAGTGTTATGTGGCTAGAAATGTGACTAACAGAGAAGTAGTGCCTGGACTTTGGGCGCTGTGTATGGTAAAGGGTTTGAGTGGTATTTCCTAGGCAACAGAGAACCATTGAAGTGTTTAAACTGGAAAGTTGGCAGTGGGAGTCTTGAATTCTGAAAGTTCTATCTGAATATACTTGTAATGTAGCCCGAAATGAGGCCTAGGCCCTGGGATGCCAGGTAGATGGTGACTGAATTAACTCATTTGAGAAAAGACATGTGCCTAGATTATAGCAGTGACCCAAGAAATGGAACAGATGGAATCAAATATAGATACAGTACAAGAACGGAGTTGGAGAGATGCAGTGAATGAATGGAGGGGGTGGGAAGAAAAGAAGAGTAGACACTCTGTAGTGAATCTCAGATTTTTATTTGGCCACTCCATTCTAAGATTAGACAGGGATTTATACCTTCTTGAAGTATGACATTTAACACATCACACAATTATGAGTTAATTGTTCTATACTTTCATTTCCAAGTGGGGAACAGACTTAGGGCAGAGATAATAAATAATTTAACTTTTCATATGTAAAGTCATAGGTGACAATGTGAAAATATTCATAAGACAGTTAGAGGACTGGAGGCTGGAGTACAGGACACAAGTTCAGACTGTGATAGTCACCCTTGAGGCAGGAAAGCTAAGGTTAACAGCAGGAGGCAGAGTAAATAGAAGACTCAGAGAGCACAAAGGTCTGGGAGTACTTGGGGACAAACTGCCACACATACTTCAAGAGCTCCTGAAGTAGTTTCTATCCAACAGCTTATGACAAAGAATCCTAATTTACACTTACCTCCTACAATGTCATTCTTTTTTTTTTTTTTAAGATTTATTTATTTATGCATACAAGAACTGGGGTCTTTTTTTAAAGATTTATTTATTTATGCATACAAGAACTGGGGTACAGGCCAGAGGTGTGGGGGTGTGAGAGGATTCACCAGAGACAGAGTGGGGAGCAGAATAGGCAGATCGACTGAAATGCACTGCTGAGGGGAGCAATGTTTGAGACAGGAGAGGTCTGCTGTGCCATGTGGGTCACCTCTCTTGCTGGGGATCGAACTCGTGCTGCAATAGCTGTGGATTGCTTCATAGGTTGCGTCTTAACCCCTGGTGCCACCAAGGAGGCCCCTCACATCCCCCTTTCTTTCTTTCTTCTTTTTTTTTTTTAAAGAAAAACACTGCTGAGGGGAGCAGTGGGTGAGATAGGAGAGGTCTGCCTTGCCATGTGGGTTATCAAACTTGTCCTGCAGTGGCTGGCAGAGCTTGATGCACTGTCTTTAACCCCTATACCACTAGGGAGGTCCCCCACTTTCTCCTTTCTTTATAGCACTGAATCTATTATCTCAATCTATCTGAATTATTTACAATCTATTATTGTTAGAAATGGTGATATGCAAAGGTAAATGTCCATATTTATTATTTAAGGGAAAAAATAAATTCTGCTAAATAATCATTTCTAGAAAATTAGAAAAATGGGATGGAATCATACATTGAATTGCATTTGAAGGGGTTTTATTTAATTTACTAGTTGCATTATAGTATCATTGTACAGTTGGTGCCAATCTACTTTATTACCTAGGAGACTACTACCTAGTCTCATCTTCGTTGCAGTGTGGGAAGCATAGACATCATTTAACTTTAAAATTAGGACCAAACTTTACCAAGGCCAGGTCTTCCTCATGCAACTCTGTCCATAACCTTTAAGTCAAACCACTGGTAGATTTTGGTTAATGGCAGTGCTTTAAAGATAGGTGCAGTGTTGGGCCTCCCCGGTGGCGCAGTGGTTGAGCGCTGGGTTGCGAAGCTGCCCGCGGCCTCTGCGGCGCCGGTTCGATCCCCGGCTGCTCCCCGGCCACCAGAGGAGGGTCCCACATGGCGTGCAGACCTCTCCTGCCGCCCGCTGCTCCCCTCAGCAGTGTACTTCGGTCCTTCTGCCTGCTCCGCTCCCCGCTCTGGCTCTGGTGAATTCTCTCACCCTCCCGCGCTTCTGACTGTACCCAGTGCATGTATAAACAAAACAAACAAACAAACCAGCAAACAAATAAATAAAGCATGCCTCTATAAAAAAAAAAAAAAAAAAAAAAAAAAAAAAAAGATAGGTGCAGTGAGCTTTCAATAAGGCTAGCGACAAAAGGTCTTTGATCTTTTCAATTTAATTCCATTAAACCTTATAGAGTACTACATTCAGATTTTGGGACATCCAAAGCAGTGACACATCTCTCTCCTTTCAGGATGAAATCTAATCATTTAGCTCTTTGTAAGTAGTATAGTTAAATGAATTGCTTAATTTTATACAAAGATCAACATGGTATTTATTGTCCAAAATGGTATTTATTGTCCTTATATTTGCCAATTTGTTTAGGTGGGTTTGAATTTTTTTCCTTATTGTTCTTCAACTCCCAAGGGCTAAATAACTTTTTCAACACAAGATATGTATAAATATAAAGTTTATTTAGCATAGTGTTTAGAAAAATAAGTTCACATCATTTCAGAAAACAAATAAAACACTTAATTGTCCAGGCATAAACCCCTATTACAGTACAACATACATACTTTAGATCTCTTTGGTTGGGTAATTTAAGCACAGAAATGTTCTGGGACATGCTCTGTGTGCCATCACCTAACAGTGCAGTAAAGACTCTGTTACCCCACCCCATGACATACATTCTGTATAGATTTCTTCTTTATGTAAGGCACAGTAAAACCATAATGAGTATATAACTGGTTGCCTTTTAAACATACAGTACATGCAACAAAAGAATAAAAAAATTTGAGAACCCTGAAAAGCCAAAAGTCACATGCTATATAATTTTGGTTAATAAAATGTGTGGTGGTAACATTAAATTAACATGAACTGTATCATTTAGATACAAAGTAACCATTAGGCTCTATCAGCTAAGTTCTAGGAAGACTGAAACATATTTGCAAAATGTACTTCTTTTCCCCAGTTTTCCTGAATTACCTGTATCTTTACCATGAGATGACTTGTCAAAAACATCTTAAAGAATGAATAACCTTTGACTATGTCTTAACGCACACTTGTCTAACATGTAGCAGGGCAGCTGCAACACATGCCCAGTAAGCCATGTTAAAAAACATGCAAGATGCAAGGGCATATACAAGGAGATTTAAGGTCAGTGTGCAACTTAACTATGGATTTTTATCTATGGCTATAAAGTCTACCTGCCTTTCGTAACACAAGAAAGGCACAAAAACGTGTACATTTCAGTCTTTTTATTACTATAAATATACATGAGATATAAAACAGTACAACACAGGTGCTCTTGCTTGATTGAGGAACAAATGCACCTTCTTTAAATGACAGACTGTCCTTTACGAGATGTAACTAAGAGCTAAATGCCAAATTCTGGCTGATAGAGTGCATAGATAGGCTCACACCAAAATTTCCACAGCCAGCAGCAGGCATTGGGGTTTGCAGGGAGAGTTACTTAACCCCTATTTCCATTCCCCTTTGGGGAATCATTACAGGGTCATTTGCAGCATCTTCAAGCATTGGTTTATGTAAGAGAGAAATTCTGCCACATGAACTCTAAGGGTTCTGAGTCTGGCCCTTGGTATTGCAAAAAAGAAACATTTGCAATTCTGTGCAAGGAGATCATGGGGTTTATCTTATTTCATTCACATATATATGGGCTACATACCAACTGGCCCTTATTATTTACTGAAAGAATAGTAAAGAACAATAAGTTCTTTATAATGTGCATTGATTCTTACCTGGTATATTGTGTAGCTACCTGGAGTAATTATAGGGGTATAATTACATCACATTGAGTATGAATGGATTTCCTAGGCAAGTCTTAAGTTTTGTGCTATCTTTTTCTTAAAGGAAAAAAAGAAGAACTCTGAATAGAACAGAGGCTTTTTATATTTTTGGAAGACATATAAAACTTTTCTAGTTATATATATAACATATATAACTTTTTAATCCTTTCCATTTCCCATATTAGATGGGTTATTTTAAAATAACTAACAAACCTTGATATCTGCAGCAATCAAGTGGAAAACATCATTTTCATGTAAACTACACTATACAACCATGTAATTATTCTCAGTAACATAATCAGCACACCTGAAGGAGGGAAAAGATGTATAAGAAGCAGTGGAGTGGAAGGAACTCTAAACAACTGATTTTGTAAAAAAAACAAAACAAAGAACGCTAGTTTCAGCAGTTTAGAAACATTCACTAATTTGATAAAAATGGGATCTAAGTTCTTTATCAAAATGATGGGAGAAGAATTCTTCATAGGGCTCTTCAGCTATGCCTGCAAGTTCCATCTGCAGTAACAACAAAAGTGAAATCCTCTGCGGCCCATGTTCAACAGGCTGATGGGCATCTAGAGTGGACCCTTGTTCTGATCCTAAAGAAAGCAAGGCATGGTGACTTCTTTATGTTCAACTTTAAGTTATCTCGGAAAAGATCATTTTCTCATTTTTCTTGCTTTCTTTACTCACTACATAAATGTACTTGCATTATTACATCTTGTGTTCAGAGTCCTGATAAAATCTATAACCACAGCTTACAACATCATCAAACAAGCTTCTTACAGAAACCCAAAAGATTTCCAAGACATGATAATATAGTGCAAACAACAGTTATATGTCATCATGTAACAACTAATTAAAACATTGAGACCTAAGTTTCAACAGGAGAGCATTTTGCTCGATAGAATTTACATATTCTTCGCTTTAAATAGTTGTCAGAGACTACAGAGTTGATTTTACATGGTAGTCTATAATTGTTATTTTCATTGTAGTGAATGCATCAATAATCAGTTGCTCATCCATTTGTATCATAAACATACATAAAAATACAAGTGAAACTTAAGTTCTTCAGATTTAAAGCAATTTCATGGTAAAATTAACCCTGTTAGAGAGTAGAAAAGAGCCATCAGTGCTTTTGCTGATACTCTGTACCTTAGTAAGAACAATAAAAAGGCCACAAGGTAAAAAGGCACATAGAATTCTATAGAAAACATACTTAAATGAATCAGAGTGGCTAAATAAAGAACAAGGATGTGAAAAAAAGTACCAAAATTCCAATATTGGGAGTTAGGTTTCCTATTTCAGTGTTATTAATATGGACCTTAATAGACTCCTGATAAAAATCATTACTTTCAAAATCCTACAAAAAGTAAAACTTTGTTGGAAATAACTATGTTCACTTCCTGTTCAAACAATAAAAATAAATTAAACAGTAAGAAAACATTTTTCTTTTCAGTTCATAGTGTCTGAAGTATAAGAGAAACATATACAGCATAAATAAAATTCACTGTAATTACTCAAATCCTTGCTCATAGGACTAATATATTTACACTCATACTGTTGTTTCAGAGTTTTTAGTGGAGTTGCAAACTTTCTCAGCCACACTGAACTATTAGCAACCACATCTGGAAATGTATAGAGACAAACCAAGACTTTCACAAAAATGCTGAAAAACAGAAAAGCATATATTCAAAAATATACCCTTAGAATATAGTGTGGAGTACCATTTACGTTTCTTAATCTTATCAATGCCCATGGAGTAAAAGTAAACAAAAAGAATCATATTGTTTCTAATGCTCTCTAGCAACATTTAAGTTTTTGGTAGGTGTATAATTTTTAATTAAAAAATTATTTATCAATTCCCATTTGACCTTAAAATTATGTTAACAAAATGATATACTTTGACTTGATGCATTTCAACTTGTTCCTTTGTCTCTATCTATTTAAAAGAGAACATTATGTGGACAAAGCTGCAGTACTGCAGTTCTATTTCTGTATATTTAACTGTGATCTTCATGTAGATCAATCCAGTCTCTTGAATGCATTTACTTGCAAAACTAGCATTTCTCTTCAAATGGGAAAATGCTTTATGTCCTGAGGGCTTTGTGAAAAGGTTTGCCCCCTATTGCCAAGGAAAAAAAGGGGGTGGGTGGGAGAGAAATGAAGTTCACAAGTCTTGCATATCTTCATCCAATTGGACAGTTTGGAGCTTGGCAAGCTCTTTTTTGTCCGTTTCTAGGTCTTCACAGACAGTCTCTACCATGCCCTCTAGAACATATTTGGATTTGGAGTCCAGCATCATTAAGTTGCTTGCTGCTTTGCCCTCAGAATTTGTTAAGAAATTCTCTTTTATGTTAGCTACTGATTGTAGAACCAAACGATGTTCTCTGACGAAATCCTGGTGGACTGTTGGGGAAGGGTGACCCACTTGGTCTTCAGCTGTTGGAACTATCTCCCCAAGGGCAGCCTGGGTCATGGGGACTGATAAGAGATCTTGACCAGTAATAAGGGAGCAGTTCTGAAGAGTTGCATAGTTAGTATTGCTGACAGATGTCACAGTAGATTTGCTTGCCACAGGTGCAGACATTGGCTGGTTATCAGCAATGTCAGGATTTAGCTCTGTGGGATTTAGTAGGCTAGGGGGAGTTAGGGAAAAATTGTGAGTTGGGGATACGTTAACTAATGGGGAGGCCAGTGGATGGAGGCCACTCCCCGAGATATTTTCAGAAGACAGGTTTGCATTTACTTGTGCATTCTGGTTGACAGACATCAACTGAGAAAATACAAGGCTCCTCTCCAAGCCCTCTTGTTTAACAGATCCTATAGTCTGGCCTGAATTAGGAACAGTGTAAACCACTGCACTGGGAGCAAGAGAGCTCAAGAAAACCTTTCCTTGCTGGACTGCGGCAGACTCACTTGTAAATGTGCTCCCATCTGAAGTGCTTGAATTTACTGAAATATTACCTAAAAAAAAAAGTACAGTGTGTCATTGATGGAAATGATAAGCAAAGAAAAAAGTTACTTTTTAACACACATGATTTTTTTCAGGTTCAGCTAAATCACCTTGAGCAGTTAAAACTATAGATTTCTAGGCTCCACTCCTGTGTCCAATTCAGTGAGTCCCAGAATAGGTGCAGTTTTAAACAACCCCCCCAATAATTCTGATGACCAAGTGGGAGTGAGAACTACTGGTTCAGAAATCAAGCATGCAAAAAAAAATTCCCCAAGTTCTAATAATTTCAGTTGTTTCTGGTTCATTATTTCTGACTTACAGTATCTCAATTAGTTTGTATTTATTGCTAATTAACAAAACTAGAAAACACAAACATGAAATAAAATGGTTTTGTTTAGGACAAGTTCAGTAATTGATATAAAATATAGATAGAAATGTAGAAAATATTACCTAAAATAAGCTATTCTGAATCGTAAGTTAACTGTATAGACCTGTATAGACAAATTGCAAACTTTCACCAAACTAACCATAAAGCAATGTCAAGTCAATAAAACGTTCAATAGGCTTTTTTCCCCCTTTATGTCACTTCCTAATTTTCAGTGTTGTAGTGAGAATTAGTAAAAATAAAGTGTGCTTTTCAAAATTTAGATTAACATAAAGAACCGGAGCTAATGCATCTTTAAAAGGTTTGTCTTTGAGACTTTTACTATATGGTCTGCAGAGACCAGAAGCAGAAAAAAGAAATGAAAGAGAAAGCTGAGATGTTCCAATTAGGTAACTCAGCCAAAGCAGATGAATTGGACACTTCCCCTCCCCTTACCCAGCATTGAACATTACCCTTTTCTTTCTGAGTCTTTATATAAATGTAGTGAAATGGTGGTAATGACCTCGCTATTGAAAGCAAGATGGGTCTGGGGGAGTAGTGTGACAGAATAATCCAGATGTAACTTTTACTCTGACCATGGATTAGATGTTCAGTAAACTTTACTATTTTGAGAAAACAGCCCAATGTTAACGGTAATTTACCTAAAACATATCCCTTCTTGAATTATTAGAATAACTGTGATTATATTACTCCTATAGTGATAAATAAATGTCACAGGGCTGTTTATTTCTCTCAGATATTTTTAAGCAAAGCAATGCTTTTAAACCAAAAAACCCTAGAAAATTCAAACACTGATGTTTGAACTTTAAAATGCATATTCATATTCAGAAAAAAAAATTAATTTATTTTTTAGTTTGAAAATATTCCAGTATCTTGTTTACAAAATGATTATTTTTGATAGAGCCATAATATAATAGATGCAACATTCTTCCCAGTTGCTATTGAATATAAACAGTATTTCTAAATGTTTCCAAGTACTATTCAATATAACATTTCTGAATGTGTAGAAGTTGTAATGTATAAATAAAGGGGAAAAAGCAGATGTGATCTGCTTTCACACCTGCAATTGAATTGTAAATTGTAATTTGGGTTGAATTGTAAATTACAACTGCAATTGAATTGTAAATTGAACAATAATTTCAAAACCATTAAAAAAATTTCCAATTTTAAAGTCACAAAGGTGCAAAGCATGTCATAATGGTGATAAGAATATTTTCTCAGATTATAGAGTAAAAGATGGTGATACTGTTTTTCCAAATAAATTCTAGCTATAAAAAGATAATCTACCTTGCATCTAGACATTTTTTAAAAAAAGGCCTCAGTACTGTTTTTCAGAAAGGCTGAATTCCCAAATGCTGTATTTAGAACTACAATGCACAATTACTATAAAATAAAGGCATGTTGCCTCCTAGACTCATTTGGGTTAAAATTATGTTTTCAACTTACCCAGACAATTTACTGTTGACATTCCTGTCATTTGATGTTGGCTATTTTAACTGAAAATGCTATTCTTATTAAATGTTCGATTAAAAATCGGCTATCAGTTAGTTTATAATAATTTTCTAGATTAAGATTTACTTTTTTTTGATTTATGCATACAAGAACTGGGGTCTAGGTCAGAGGTGCAGTGGGTGAGGGGATTCACCAGAGCCAGAGTGGGGAGCAGAACAGGCGGATCAGCTGAAATACACTGCTTAGAGGAGCAGCGGGCTAGACAGGAGATGTCTGCTGTGCCATGTGGGTTAGCTCCCTGGCAGAGGATGGGACTCAGGGGAACTCAGGCCACAGTGTCTGGTGATAGGTTGATAGTGCTGAGACTTAACCCCTGGGCCGCCAGGGAGGCCCACTTTTCTAGGTACTATGTTATAAGTATTTCTGTTTTTCTTTCCCTCCCCCACATAAATACCATGCCTTTTATTCAAATTGTTGTTCTTAAAATGTTACCTACTTTTTAGAAATTTTTCTGATGAGAGAAAAAGGGGTTAGAGCTATTAAATGTAAAACTTAGCACTTTGGTTTTCCCTGTGGTTTGCATATGTTTGTCCTAATTTGGATAGTTATTTAGCTTGACCCTTTTCATAATTTAGAACAATGAAGAAATGAAGTGTGTTGCAGGACTCTTGCTTTACTACTATTTTTACCTAAAGAGAAACAAATGTACAGAATGAAATTCGCTCCACAACAGTTTTTCCACGATGGTCTCAAATAAGCTGATGTAGACTATAATAGTGGAAACAGAAGAGTTGTGCAAAAATTGATCTTTTTGACAAAATCATTTTACAGGATGCTGATCTTTAAGGCAAATGTGTACACTAGTATCTCCCACTCCTGAATTCAAGGACCTATGCAACATCCCCTGTCAAATTCTAACCATTCCTATTTCTATATAGAGAGAATGACACAGAGCCATCCAGACATGTTTAAAGTCGGAGAAAAACCAGCATGTCAGCCTCAGGTTTCCTAAATTCAGCTCAGTGCTTTCTCTATAGAATTACCTTCAGTAAAGACACAAAAAAGCACAAAATAAAGCCTAGGGTTGCCTTCATAAATAAACCCATACACCTTGGGGACAAATATACATAAAGAGCAATGGAAATCCAATCATATTTTTTTGAATTTCTTTTGGGTCTGTTAGTCCTGATTATAGGGGTAATAGGAATTAAACACATTGATCCAGTCTTTTCAACTTTTGCTTCTAAAATACTTTTTGGTCAAATAATGATGCTAAGGTGAAGGGTGCGTATTCTTACCAACTGCTCGACTAATTTTGTGTTCTTAGCCATAGTATAAATTTTTAATCTTAAAATGTCAGGCAATGGTTATTTTGTAAGCACCTATTGACTTATCATATTTCTATAATTGTAGAACTGGCAGGACTTGCTATGAACGTATTTTTCCATTCAGTTATTAGGAAAATAAAAGCCCATCCCCATGATGCAAGGTAATCAAGCAAGCTGGATATTACAATTAAAGGCTATTCTGTAGCTGTGGCAGACGATCTGGTATCTGAACAGTAACATCAATCTATAGCTCTCACCAAATGCGTGGTGCTTTAGCTGCTGACTAAAGATTCACGGGTGCATTATGGTACCAAATGGGACTTTTACCTTGTGAAGCTGCCACTGAAGAAGGAGGCAGCTGCAGTGGAGAGAATCCAATGCTCCCATTAAGAAACTGGCCGTTTGCTCCGGAATTGGGGATCTGGACAATGCCATACTGGTTAATTTGCACGGGTGTAGTAAAAGTCACTATAGAGCCACCATCCTGGGAAGCTACTGTTTGAATGCCTTCTCTTTTCACCTCAGTGCTGGGGATCAGCCCTGGAAATGACACAGGGGCACTGGGGCTGTAGGAGGTGGTGGCTGCCGAGTTAGTTGAAGAACTCTGGAGGACTTTGAATTCCTTCACATCCTGGGAGGTAGACCCCAGTATATCGGTCATGGATATACCATTGCTTACAATGTTTGATGCCACTTTTGGTGGGTTCAGTGACACTGTCTGTGTATTTCCCACATTTAATCCATTAAGGATAACTCCATTGGGTCCCTGAATAAAAGAATTACCATTAAGGAAGACAGGTGAAGTACTTGCAGGTACCAAGTTTCCATTCAACAAAACTCCAGAAGAGCTTAATGATATCTTAGCATTTCCAATTTGTTGCATATATACTGGCTCCACATGACTAGAAAGGCTGAGGTTGGTGACACCATCAGATGAACCAGAGAGTGGATGTGGAGACAAATCCTCATGTCCCTTGCTTGATTCATCTTCAGTGCTGGGATTGCCATCGGACTCACTACAGAGAGGGGGAGATCAAGACATCTGAAGGTCAGGGAGGATGACATTCTTCATAGCGCCATTTGTTTGGAGACCCAGTCTCTAAACGCATTAAAGGCAGTATTTAAAGAAAGCACAGCAAAGGTGTCTTGTAGTCCTGTTTAAACTATGAGACCTCTCAGCAGAATGACTAGAGAATCTGGTAAGACGAACTCTCATACCTCATTTTTACTACTAATAAATTGCTACCAATACATTTTGGGTACGTGCAGAGAGCTGGAGAATGCGAATTCAGCTAATAGATTTACAGGAGAATTGTACAAATGTCTTCATAGCATCATTGTTAAATAGGCTGCTACCACAGGAAAAATACATTAAATAGTCAATGTTTCCCGTTCAGAACACCTTCCCCTCCCCTCCAATCAATTCAGATTAGTGTGATTTTGAAGGTAGATGAAACTGCTAAAGAAGCAGGAGATGGGAAGGGTTCAGTTTTGTTTGCTAGTTAGTTAACAAGAGATCATTTCTCACCTGCTCCCAAACTTCTACTCCACCAGACTGACAACTCTCTCTTTCAACAAAGTGGCTGTCCTTGTTGTAGGAAAGGCACTTTCAACCCAAGAACAGTTATGTGCAGTCGCCTTTGAATCCAAAGGAAGCCATAGGGGCCTATTTAACATACACCATCCTGTGCCCTGGTGAGGTGGGAGGGAAAGGGTGTGGGTCACTCACCGGCCTCAGACCCGTTCCCCAGTAACCTCAGTCCTTCAGTTCCAGAGGGACTCAGTTCCTGGCCCCCCAACTGGGGGGCCTTGGGGGACATACCAAATTCGGAGAGGGGTGTTGGGAATTCCCCATTTGGTCTGAGGCTGGGGGCTGGGGGGTGGGGGGCGGGGAAGAAGGAGAGAGTGGCAGTTTGGAAGAGTGGCAAGACTTGACCCAGCAGAGTACCCAACATCTCCGCAGAGCCCGGCGGTCGGTTCACTTTCAAGCAGAGGGGAGGGGATTACCCGGGCTTGGGGCTGCGGGGCCAGGAGCGCAGAAAGCGTTTTGATTTACGAGCTGAGTCTGAGCCGCCGTCGCCGTCTGCGAGGGTGACTCACCCGGGTGCGGGTGGGAGGTAGATCCGGAGGGGGGCCTAAATCAGGCAACTGCGAGGGGGGAGGGGAGAGGGAGGTCTGGAGTTGATGGGGTGGATTTGGGGGGCTAGGCTAGCAGAGTGTGGCAAGGAAGATCCAGGGAACGTGCCCGCTGGCGGGGAGGCGGAAGCTGCAGGTCAGCGGGTCTGAGTGGGGCACCCGCTCCTCACCCTCTTGTCCCAGGCCCCAAGGATCCGGGCTCCCAGCCGCTAGCGGCCCGCGGGGCAGCCAGTTTAGCGCCCCCGACGCGCCTCCACTTGCTCTCCCCGCAAGTCAGCGGAAGGATGCACACAGATCGTCGAGTGCGTTTTGTTTTGGTTACAGCGAGGCCAGGCTCGGGCGCAGCGCCTCCCTCCTCGCCCCGGGAGCCGTCGGGCCCGCAGGGGTGCAGGGGTGCAGGGGCGCTAGCGGCCGGGGGGCCGGGGCGGGCCGCGGCGGGCTCTGGAATGCGCAGGGTGATCACCTTCGCCTGGCCCAGGCGGGCTCCTCACCTCCCAGATTCCTTCCCAAAGCAGAGCCTTCAGCCACTTTTGGATTCTTTCTCTCCTATCCCCGCGGGGCTAACGACACCAGCACTTTAGGTGACCTTCTTCTTACTTTACTTTTCCGAAAAATACAGACAGACACGCACCCCAGGTGTCTGAGTCGGGAGGACGCATAAACTCGTGGAAAAACCTGTTCTTTTCTACTAATTGGGCAAAAAGACCTGCCAGTCCGAAAGTTCAAACTTGCCAGGGTGGGCGCTCAAGGGGGGTGAGGAGGTGATAGCGCCCCCATTCCTTTTCCGCCCATGCCAGCCAAACCCTCCCCGCAACAACCGTCCTAGGAAGGGGTCAGCCTCGTAGAGTAGGGGGGCCGGTGGGGGGAGGAGGAAGCAGCCCCGCAGCCCCACTACCCCCGCGGCGCTGAAATCTGATCCGAAGGAGCTCAGAATCAGGTTTCAAAACACAGTGGAGTCGAGCGGCACCAACACCCCACGTTGCCGCGGCCGCGCAGGGAGCCACGGTCGGCAGGGTGAATGATTAACTCTGTCAGAGAAAACCTCGACGTCCTCAGACCCCTTTTGGGGTGGCTAGCCCCCAACCACCCTCTCCCCTCTCCAGAGCGGCCTCGGCGACCTCCAGCGAAGGGCGGTGGGGCGGGGGGGGGGCAGGCGAACCCCAGGGGCCAGGGAGCGCGCGCGCCCGGGCAGCGTGACCGCCGCGGAGGGGCAGGTCCCCGGCCGCTCCGGCCACCTCCGCGGGCCTCGGCGAGCGGCGCGAGCTCCTTCCCAGCGCCCGCTCGCGCTCCCCGCCAGAGCCCGGGAGAGTGGCAACTTCAAAGCCCGAGCAATGGGGGTGGGAAACCGGGCAGCAGTGACCAGCCGAGGTGGGGGCGGGGACTGAGTCCTAGGCGGGCGACCAGAAAGTTCTGGGGGGGAGAGGGTGGGGGAGGGGAGGGGGAGGGGACGGAGGCAGGGTTCCCCCGCCTCGCGCCGCCGCCGCCCCCTTCCCCGGGCGAGGAGAGAGGTGGGGGCGGGGAGAGGTGGGCAGCCGGACCAGGCTGGTGGGGAAGGTAAGCGCCATGTTTGCGAGCACTCGGAGGAAAAGAAAGCTGGGTAGGGGTGGGGGGAGGAGGGGGGGGAGAGGAGGAAAGTTGGCGCTCACCTCTTGGACTGGGTCTCCGAGGGGTTCCGATCGCGCTGCCGGCGGTTCTTGAACCAGTTGCTGACCTGGGTGAGGGAGAGGCCGGTGATCTTGGCCAGGTGCCGCTTCTCGGCGGGCGAAGGGTAGCGATTCTGCTTGTAGAGCTCCTTGAGCGCGTTGCGCGACTTCTCCTTGAAACAATACACCGTCTCCTCGCCGTCCCAGATGGTGCGGGGCAGGGGGAATTTCCTGCGCAGCCGGTACTTGTCCACGGCGCCCAGCGGCCGCCCGCGCGCCCGCTCGGCCTCGGTGTAGCGCGCCTTGTACCAGAGCTGCTGCAGCAGCGGGTGGTTGGCCGACTCGAAGCTGTGGCTCTCGAGGATGCTGTAGAGCTCGGGGTAGATGCCCTGGTGGAAGGCCACCAGCGCCCGCGCCTTCAGCAGGCTCTCGTTGCCACGTAGCAGGTCGCTCTGGGGCAGGGACCACAGGAACCGGGCCAGGCGGTCCAGGTTGCCCCCCTGCTGCAGCGCCTCGCACACGCAGGCGACGTGGTCCGGCGAGAAGGCCAGCGGGGGCTGCGCGGCGCCGGCCGCGCCGAGCTGGTGCCTGCCCAGAAGTTCCGCGCGCAGTTGCGCCCGCTCCGCCGGCGCGGCCCCTTCCTCTGCGCTCACCCTGGCGGCCGCGGCCGCCGCGTCCCCCGGCTCCAGGGGGAACGGGGCTGGGGCCGGCGGGCTCAGCCCCGCCGCCGCGCCCCCCGCCACTTCTCGGGGCGCCTCCTGCCCTTCCGAGGCGCTTTCCATCCCATTCTCCTGCTTGATGTCCGCCGCACTTGCAATCTGCCCGGTGGGGGAGGAAGAGGACATTTTTTGTTTATTTTCCTCACTCCCTCGCACTCTTTTCCTCTTTCTTTCCCCCTCTCTTACTCCTCCTTCTTCGTCTCCCTCCCACCTCCCCCCTCCGGAAAGCCCACTCCCTCCCTCCCGGTTTCGGCTGGATCTGGCCGATCAGGTTTCCCCCCGGCCACGCAGTCACCATTAAGATAGCTGCTAGAGCAAAGTAGTGTAAAAGGATAGCTGCTTTCTGCTGTTCCCCCAACGTGACTCCTCGGGTTGCTGCATACTATATGGCACTGGCGGCCGGGCCGGGCCGGCCGAGCCGCCTCATTGGCTATTTCGCATTCAGAGGGAGGAGGAGACACGGTTTCTATCCCTGTCGATCACCCGCCTCCCACTCCACCCCCTCGCCGTTCCCTCTCCCCCTGACCCCCAGGCACCTATACCTGAAGGGAAACCTCGGCATTCTTTTCAGGCCTTGCTGCTGGGCGGGAAATTAACTAATGCGGCCTTCACACTGGACAACAGGCTCTTTCAAAGAGAGTCCCTCCGATTCCAAAGGGAATATTAATGGTGTGGCCTTAAGGTCTGGATGCTAAAGTCTTAACAAAGAGACCACCCTCAGCATCTAGATGACAAAATTTCAAAGGGAACAGTTTCAAAGCTTTCCAGGTATCTCTCTTCTCTCCTTTACCTCCCTTTCTGATGTCTTTATCAAGGGTTTTGTCTTCCAAACGGTCAAGAATAGAAAGGCACTAGGGAGTGTTCTAAGGTGAAAGCATTTGTAGTAAACTCAAATTCCAAGGGGAAATGCTTGAAAACCGTAAACTGCACAAATAGCTCCGTGGAGAAGACAAAAGCAAGACGTCTTCAAGAAAATGTGTTTAACCTTAAGTCTTCTGGAGGGTTGGCAAGCCAACTGAGTTGGATATGAATGCAACTAAGCATATTTAGTTAGTAGCATAGAATATTTAACCATATGTTTATCATGAGTAAGTCGTGTGGAAGAGATCTAAGCTTTATATTATAATAGTAGTATAGAAATTAAATCTGCTATATAAACATTTTCCAGGTGAGTGTATGAATAAATTATTTGAAGGTGATATTCCTGGTAGAAACACCATCTCTATGTGCAGGTGCCTTGGAGATCAGTACAGAATCAGCAACCTTTTCCCACAGCACAGAAACGCATGGTTCCAGGTGAGGTGCCAGGGAGCAGAATTTGCTATTATTTGCAGTCATATCTCTTTCCTTCATGATTTACATAGGTCTTAACTCAAAAACAAACAAACAAACAAAAAAGGATGAACCTGTCGCTGCTTTTGTAGGTCTCTCTGCTGGTGTTTTCCCTCAAAATCTACATTTTAACATATCAGCCCAACTTTTATTTCAGGATAGTCTTGTATTGTTTCTGCTTCCCAATTACTCATAATGCCTACTTCAGCATATCATAAAGCAGCTGTGTAGGTCATCTGCTGTCATGATCAACTTGGTGAGGTTTTCTTTTTCATGGACGGGCTGCATTTTATTGCTTGTCAGCCAAGAGGTGATTTGATTTTGGACTTAACTTGCATTTATACTACCCGAATGGAGCCAGTACTTACATCTTTGGTAGATTGAAAATCAATCATAGGAAAGAAACCATGTGTTTCCACCTCATTGGAAATATCTAGTTAGGTATCATGCTTCAGGACAGTACCTGAGATTCATAACTTCCTTGATTTAAAAAATAAACTTTTTATATTAGAATAATTTTGACTTACAGAAAAAAATGCAAAAAGAGTACATTACGGAAAGTTTCCATCTACTCTTCACCTAGTTTCCCATGATGTTAACATATTACATCATACTGGTAGCTTTGTCCAAACAAATTAACATTGGTGTGATACTATTAGCTGAACTCTAGGCTTTATTTGGATCTACCACTTTTCCTACTAATGTCTCTTCCACCACTTAATTCAGGATACCACACTGCATTTAGTTCCTTCCATTTTTAAAGCATATTATCAGAGTTAAGTAGACAGGAGGTAGTGTGGTTTAGTGGACAGGATATGGATTTGGAGATCAGCTAGCTAGATGTAAGTTTAATCCTAGCTCTGCCATTTATTAGCCTCTAGACTATCAAAAGTGGACAGGATTATTATGAGTTTTAAGTGAGATAAGATGTGCCAAAAAGCACCTGGAACGTAATTAATCTTTGGTAAATATTTGTTACCTTCCTCCTGATAGTACGAAGTAGGAAACTTTTCAATTGTAAAAACCTAATGAAAATTCATTTGACTATATTATAGGATTATATCATTTATATATAATTATTTTGGATATAATATCCTAGTTCAGGTCATAGGAGTCTTCATTAGATTTATTATCAATCAAATCTAGTGTACTGATTAGGAAAATCAGATATACTGACCTTCTGCATGTCTTCTGTGTATTTGCTTGTAGAGCACCAGTTTTAACAGATTATATGGAAGTAGCTATTTTTATGATAATCTGCAGCCTGTAGCTACATTGGTATTCCATAGCCCTAGAAGGAGATTTTTCCTACAGGAGTTCTTAGCAGACTGAATTTACAGCTCAATCTGGTAGTAGTTCAAAGTGGACTGGAATTTCTGTATTGACACATGGTCAGCTATATTGGAACAGCATATGAGATTTGAGGGCATGTGAAGTTAATCTCAGCCCACCAGTTTTGTTGAATGGTTTATATGGTTAATGAATACTTACTTATACTTTCTATCTCTGCCATACTGTGAATGTCAAGTCTGCTTTGCTAATATGTACTCTAAATCTGTGTAGTGATTTGGGAAAACAGAGTTGATTTGGGATTGTATGAGTGTAAAGAACATCAGAAAACCAAGCTGCTTGTTTTTGTATCTTTCCCCTCTTGCTTGAAGACAGTGATGAAAGTGTGTGGAAATCTTTTGCCATTTTATTATATTGAAGAAAATCTGGTTTAGCACAAAATGTTATACTTTGCTTGGATGTATTAATGGTGTTACCACCAAAAAAAGAGATTTCCTTTCTTAAGTCTGACTTTGTCCAAAAGATGGAGAGAAGGCTTATAATTTTTTTTAAGTGGGCACTTTCTATTTCATAAAGGTTGTGTACTGATACTATTAATGAGGTTAAGTTCTAAAGTTATCTTTCAGGTAAAGAAGGTGGTCCACTGTTATTTAGTCACTACTGATTAATGATATGTAGTCAACATTTCTGAAATACAAGGTATTAACATTAGGTACTGAATGATAAAAAGATGAATATATTGAGGTTTCAGACCATGAAGACCTTAAAATCTGGTGGGAGCAATAAGACATTCACAAGTACCTACAATACAGGGTATAGGCAGGAGTGGTGAGGACAAAGTGACTCATTCTGAGAGGGGCGGGCAATGGGAGTGAATTTTTAGTTGGGCCTTCAATGACAAGAATTTTGAAAGAACACAGAGTTCATTAGAGACAGAGGGAAGGAGAAATGAGCAAAGCTTGGAACCACTAAGGTGTGTGTGTATTTCTGAGTTATTCTGTAAATTTGTTGCCTGGAATGTGGATATTATGCAAAAATGCGCTGGGGGATTAACTTAAAAGGCACATTGAAGCCAAATTATGAAGGATTTTGAATTAAAAGCTCAGTTTGCTGTGGTAAAAAGAGAGAAGACTGGTTGAGAGGGTCTTGGTAGTAATGCTTGGGAGTTCTCAGTGACTGGGTCATCTGCCCATGGAAGATGCTAATGAGCAAGGCTCACAGGTGACAGTGAATTCCGGGTTCTAGTGCATTCTTGTCTTTCTGTGTTTTGTGGTAATATGAAATTCCCTAGGAGCCAGAAATCCCACTCGAACTTGCCTAGGCAAAAAGGTAAATTTATTGGATCATGATACCAAACAATGTGAAGAACATGAATGTAGCTGGTTGAACTTGAAGATCTATTGTCTCATTTCACTTGCCTCTGCCTCTCTCATAAGTTAGTTTTCCTTTTTCAAAGGGGCTTTCACTAGAAGGATGGAACCTTGGCTCCAGGTAGATCCCAGTTGACATTTTCCAGCTTCATCAAAGAGGTTCTGCTGCTTTTCTCTTACTATCAAATTGAAAAATCCTAGGGAAGATCTCTGTTGGTCTAATAAGGGACCAGTTCATAGGCCAGAGGGCCAGCATTGTGATTGACAGTCACCTTCCAACCACACAGACCTGTGGGGGAGGAGCTGTTTCTCACAAGGATGGAGGAAGGATGCTATCTCTAGTCAAAGGACAACACAAATGACCCAACTGGGTTCATAGCCTTGGGACGGGTAAGGATGGGTCTCCAGTTTAGATCCATGGCCCTAGGAAGGTAGAATCCATTCTTAACTGAGATGGGAATGCTAGAGGATGAGTGAATTTGGAAAGAGAATAGACTCAATTGGTCCAGTGTTGGGATGCAGCTATTTTCAGAAATAGAAGAAACTTGATAGTTCAGAAGTTTCTTACAGAGGCTGAGGTTCCATTTGTATCAGAAGTCTGGTGCTTCAGGGCTTTCCTCCTCAATGCTTCCTGACTCTTCTATTCCTGGTTTACTTACCAGTAATAAGGTATATCTATTATGTGCCAGGCGTTATAGTAGGGTGTTTATGCATTTATAAATCGTGTGGTTTAATCAATACAGCAACTCTATGAAATGTATTTTATTGGGGAAGGAAACTGAGATAAGGGAGATTAAGTAATTTGACCAAAGTCTGGTCTGATTTAAGAGAAAGTGAGATTCTTTCCATTACACTGCCCTTTTAGATACTATGATGGCTAACAGTATTCATACTACTATTAGTAATAACCAATAGTTATTGAGCTCTTATTTTGTGGTAGGTATTGTGGTAAGCACAGTAAGCAAAACATCTCATTTAAACTTAACAAGTAGTATCCTCAAAATATTTGGGAACACTGAGGCCTGAGGTCATGTAGTTAGTAAATCATAAAGTTAGCACTTGAATTCAGCTCTCTTGGTGGAAGAGCCCAAAGCTATAAAATCTACTTTCTACTGCCTATATTCCACTGGTGCAATTGTCTCTTGGTATCCATAGGGGATTGATTCTAGATCTCTGAGGATACCAAATCCACAAAAGCTCACATCTCTTAC